TTCACTTCTGCAACATATATTTGCTTTGTCAGTCTTTCCGCATTCATTCTTTCTACATGACCAAACCACCGAAGCATTCCTTTCTTAATCCTGTTCACCGCATCATCTTGCAAACCACACTCTTCTTTTATCACACAGTTTCTCAACCTGTCACTCAGATTCAGCCCTAACATACTCCTTAGCGACCGCATTTCTACTGCATTTATTCTACTCTCGTGCTTCTTCTGCCACACCCAACTTTCACTACCATACGTTAAAGTAGGGACTAATACAGCACTGTGAAGTGCCATACGTGCCTTTTTTGACACATTATGACTTTTCACAATAGAGTGTAGAGCCCCATTTACTTTATTTCCTGCGTTCACTCGTCGTTCAATATCCTTATCATATCTCCCATCCCTGCTGAATACACATCCCAAATATACGAGCTCATCCACTTGCTCAATTAACTCTCCTTCTATTCTTATTTCACATACCGTTTTGCTTTCTTCTCTTTCAAAAACCATCACTTTCGTCTTACTTGCGTTCACTTTCATTCCCCTTTGACCTGTTCATTAATGTAACCATCATTTGCAACTCGACCGCCGACGACGCAAGTATTGTATACTTGATGATCGGCGTACAAAAGGCATTTGATGGTTAACTCACCCATTCCTAACCCGCATTCTTCAACTTTCAAATTTTCCAAACAGCTGTCCATAAATAGGTTGAACAGCCACGGGGAAGCTACACAGCCCTGTCTGACACCTTTGTGGATGCCAAACCAGTCCGAGTAGACCCCGTTGATTCTAACACAAGCACTCGAGTCCCTATACAGAGACTTTAATGCCTGTATCAAACCAGCGCTCAACCTAAATGCGTTCAGCGTTTGCCATAACACATCCCTGTCCACTCATACTAAAAATAATGAAAATAATTTTATGTTCTAAAAGAGTTGTAAATATGACATTGAATTAGCATATTATGGCTTATAGATTAAGGAAGTGTAGGAATATTTTGTATAATTAAACGCATTTGATAGTTATAGAAAAATCAAAGAATTAATGTACCCAAATATTATGAAAGTTTGGGCCATTTCATTTAAAACTTTTTACAATGTTAATGTTTTGAGTAACCTTTATGATATACTAATAAAGTACCAGACTACCGATTTGTTGATGTATAGCATGTTAGTGTAGCAATTAATTTTGTATAGAAAATATTGTAATTTATGCCATTTGCATAGTGAAAAGTTTATGCAATAAAGAGGCAAAACGGAAAATGGAAAGCGGCTCACTGTAAAGTATGTATAGCCAAATTCTACCTTAGGGGTTCGGGACCCAGTAGGAGTAGTATTGTGAAGAACTACCAGTGACAAGCAGTAATATCCGGTAGTAGCTGAAGTGACTAGTAGCAGTATATAGTGAATAGTGAAAGTGTTAGCTAGCCGAAAAAGGTCGTAATTGATATTCGCAGTTACATATAGTGAAAGTGTTAGCTAGACGAAAAAGGTCGTAATTGATATTCGCAGTTACATATAGTGAAAGTGTTAGCTAGCCGAAAAAGGTCGTAACTGATATTCGCAGTTACATATAGTGAAAGTGTTAGCTAGCCGAAAAAGGTCGTAACTGATATTCGCAGTTACATATAGTGAAAGTGTTAGCGAGCCGAAAAAGGTCGTAACTGATATTCGCAGTTACATATAGTGAAAGTGTTAGATAGCCGAAAAGGTCATAACTGATATTCGCAGTTACATATAGTGAAAGTGGTAACTGATATCAGCAGTTACACAAGTGATAAAATCAGCTAGTTTAGTTGATAATACCTGCTAGTCAGTAGTGTTAGAAAACCAGCTACAACCAATAGATATTTGATACTACCGTACAATTTAAAGAAATCTTTTGAAATATGCAGTGACCAACCAATAGTGAATAACCGTAGTTCAACAACCGTGGTCAATAATTAATAGTTATAAATTTCGCGACTAATCAATCAGTCGAACCTCTGGCCACTACCTTGCTATTTGTATTTATAAATCGTGCATTTTGATTTGAACTTCAGTCCACAATATCTCAGCGGCACCCACAAAGACGGCAGTGAAAGTACCCTCCGGAACCTATAGGTGTAGGACGTGAGCGACTCGCGAAGTATCTTCGACAACATTTACTCCGAAGAGTTTCGCCCGACCAGCACAGTTAGTTTGGCTGTGTTTGTGACGATAAAAAATGAATGTAAACATGTTCAATTTGATACCTCTTTTCAGAAAAAACGAAAAGTGTTTCGGTGTGAGTAAAATTGTCATTTACTTGTATCTTCCATGAAAAAAAGTTAAATAAATAAATAAATATAATTTCATCGCCACATTCGAAAAACACACGTACGCACAAAATAAGTACCTATTTAAATTTAGACAATCGGAGGTGACACAGCTTTTGCTTACATTGGGAAAGATCCCATGAAGCGCTGATTTTTCAGGCACTCCTTCCTCTCTGAGATGTTACAAGGGTGTCGTGAGTTCCATGTCATGAGTTCCAAGTTCCACGAAAAGCGCTTAGTCATGCCCTGTTATACATTCTCTCTCTCTAGTCGGTCCCTCATGACTGAGGATCGTGATCACCATCACGGAGAGTAAATTTATTGTTTATAATCTCTCTCCACCGGGTCCTATCGCTGGCCATACGGAGAGCGTCGTAGAAATTTCGCGCACCGACTTCTTTGACTTGGTCGGACCACCGGGTTGGAAATCTACCTCTGGGCCTTCTTCCCTCTACGTTTCCAACAACTATCAATTTTTCGATACTTTCGTCCCCGCGGCGAGAGATATGACCAAAATAGCTAAGGATGCGCTGAAGACATGTGGTGGAAAGACGCGTCTTGATCTTGAGTTGCGATAGGATTGACACGTTTGTGCGCTTCGCAGTCCACGGTATTCGCAGCATTCGCCGCCAGCACCACATTTCGAACGCATCAATTCTCTCCCTTTCTCTAACGCGTATAGTCCATGTTTCCACTCCATAGAGAAAAATTGGGAATATAAGAGTATATACTAGGCGTAATTTAGTATTATTTGTTATGCTTCTGTTTCTCCAGATGTTTGTCAGCCTGGTCATCGCATCCTTAGCTATTGCTATTCTACGCTTAATTTCGGGAACGCAAGTACCCTCATTTGAGATCAGAGATCCCAGGTATATATAACTCTCCACAACGTCGATCCCTTGAATGCTGCAAGTGTTGGAAAGTTTGCTAGCCCTGTCTATAACCATGAGTTTCGTTTTATTCCTGTTGATTGACAGACCTAGCTCTTCGCTTTCTAATTCTAGCTTATGCAGCAGCTCCTCCATGTCCTCATAAGATGTTGCAAAAAGCACAGTGTCGTCCGCATATCGCAAGTTTGCCAACCTTTTTCCTCCAATATGAAACCCTTTATCCCAGCCTTCCATGGTTTTCCGCATGATGTACTCCCCATATATATTAAAGAGCAACGGAGACAGTATACAACCTTGTCTCACGCCTTTCGTAGTCATAAACTCTTTGGAAAGACTGCCATCGAGTCTCACATAAGATCGGTTGTTATCATACAGGTTGGCAATTAGGCTGACTAGGTGTGTTGGTACTCCCATTTCGACCAACATTGACCATAGTTTAACCCAACGGACGCAGTCAAATGCCTTACTGTAATCGATAAAGCACAGTAACACTGGATTGGCAAACTCGCGACTCTTTTCAATAATCTGCCTGATATTTAAAATTTGTTCTCTTGTGCCCTTGCCCTTTACGAAGCCAGCTTGCTCGTTGGGAATCTGCCTGTTTAGGAAATTCTTAAGACGTTGATTTATTATATACAGCATGACTTTGCTGGCGTGCGAAATTAAGGAGATTGTCCTGTAGTTTGTACACTTACTTTTGGAACCTTTCTTATGCAAGGGCACAAAAACAGATTCAGTCCATTCTCTAGGCCATACGCCTGTATTCCAAATCGAGTTGCAGATGTTTACTATAATTTTCCGGCCTATTGGACCCGTGGCTTTTAAAAGTTCTGCTGGAATGCTATCTTTACCAGGTGATTTGTTCGTTTTTAATGCCTTTATTGCTTGTTCTACTTCGGCGTCTAAAATACATTAATGTACATACAAATACATGTTATACATTAATGTACTATTAAAAGCGACAGTAGCCTAATGGCAGGGCGCGGACCGCGAACTCAAAAAGGTTGTGGGTTCGAATCCGCCATTCGACTACTGGTGTGAACCACTCGTAACACAAGCAATTTAAGCTTACCACGAGTGGTTAAGTGGAATATTAGTAATTTTTATAGCATTGTTAATATTCTTTATTAAAAAAACGAATTATTGCATCGAAAAATATAAATCATATTTTAAGGATTTTGTAACTGGCTTCTATAGTTTGACTTACATTTGGGCGACTTTAGAAAGTACTGATTTACTATTTTCTGCGAACGGTATTTACTAAGCGGTGGAATTTATTTTTTGTCTAGTTGTCCATCTGAGTAGGTACATGAACTTGAGTAAATAAACTCTCTCTTACATATTACAGCCACCAAGCAACAATGCGTACACTTGTGTGTTCTGGTCTGAAGGGTGTAGAGTGCCATTATAATGATAACGTATTGGTGATGTATCTATAGTCTTTGTTTGAAGTTAGTTGAAGGTGATTGTGAGCTAAAGCAGCTACTTAACATATGTAGGAGATAAGTTTACTATTCATTTTTTTAAAGAAAAAATGTCAACCTCACCTACATATTATGGTGCACCATTCCAATTGTCGAACGTTTTGCGACCCACCAATAGGAAAAAATGATCAGGAAGTTCGAACCTTAGTTCTACAAACTAGTGGAGTAGAATTAACAGTGCGCGGATTCTGTCACTGTGCTCTCCAATCCACGTAACCAGTATGGAAACTGTTACCAAGAAATTCATACATATCAGCTTGCTGCTACTTTTTGAAAGATCTGTATATGATGTGACAACGACACTATTATTGATGCGCAATTAAAAACATACCGGTTTTCGTCCCAGTGCCTGCCACATAAACTCCAAGTCCGTCATATGCGCTGGCACCGGTACAATGAATCCCGTTGCGTACGTGTTCACAGCTCCCTCCCGTACGTAATATAGTTCCGCGTCTAATCCTGAAACAAAGACGTATTATAATTATTCATAAGCCGGAAAGAAGCCATCATCCTATTTCGCCCCGTGACTGTTGAGTGACTGTGGGATATTCCAGAATCATTTAGTGGCTTTCGATATATATAAAACCATCTGCGCTAGACGTAAAATACCTATACCAGCAATAGGGAACAGTGCAAATATGCGACACGTGTAGTTCTGTGATCATCAATTCACCCCCCATGCACGACGATTGTGGTAGATCAAAAAAACGGGAGTCACCCATGTCATTTTCAACGTGGTAGAGCCAAGCTGCAACTATGAAATGAAATGAAATGAATGAAATTTTAGTTGTAGCGCGAATGTGTCGGCTCGATCGCGATAGGACCACGCTCTCACAGAATACCAGCATAAAATAGCAGCTCAATACTGCTGTGTTTCGTATGACGATTCTAGAGAACCGGACATCCTTTTTACTAGAAACGAGGCGTTCCACCTTAGTTCTCACGGGTGACAACGCATCGGCGTTTTATACTTAATCGAGGATAAATGTAGATAGCCATGAGCCACAGAATCCACTTACCATAGGGTGGACTGTGTCGTCGTTCGTCACCTTATACTATAAAAAACGAATGTCCAGCAGTCCACTTATATCAAATATTATTGTAATTGAATCATTGAATAATAATTGAGAAGTATTTATTAAAAATAATAATATTATTGTATTAAAATAGGACTATGAGAAAGCCTTTGATTCCGTCGAAATTTGGGCGGTGCTACAGTCCCTTCAGCGGTGCCAAGTTGACTGTCGGTATATCGAAGTGCTGAAGTGTTTGTACAGTAGGGCTACGATGGCTATCCGAGTACAGAACCAGAGCTCGAAACCTATCCAACTGCAGAGAGGTGTAAGACAGGGTGACGTTATATCCCCGAAACTCTTCACCGCTGCATTGGAAGACGTTTTCAAGCTACTGGACTGGAAAGGATACGGTATTGACATCAATGGCGAGTACATCACTCACCTTCGATTTGCCGACGATATAGTCCTTATGGCAGAATCGCTGGAGGACTTAAGCACTATGCTCAATGACCTCAATAGTGCCTCCCAACGGATAGGTCTTAAGATGAACATGGACAAAACAAAGATCATGTTCAATGTCCATGTCACACCTATGCCGGTAGTTGTTGGGAGCACTATGCTCGAAGTTGTTGACGAATACGTTTACCTGGGACAAATAGTCCGACTAGGTAAGTCCAACTTCGACCGAGAGGTCAATCGACGGATTCAACTCGGCTGGGCAGCGTTCGGGAAATTACGGCATATCTTTTCGTCAGGTATACCTCAATCTCTAAAAACTAGATTGTACAACCAGTGCGTGTTGCCAGTGATGACTTACGGATCTGAGACGTGGTCCTTCACTGCTGGCCGTATGAGGACGCTTAAGGTCGCTCAGCGAGCTATGGAGAGGGCTATGCTCGGAGTTTCTCTGCGTGATAGACTCAGAAATGAGGATATCCGCAGTAAAACCAGAGTGACCGACATAGCCCAACGGATTAGTAAGCTGAAGTGGCAATGGGCCGGCCATATAGCTCGAAGAACCGATAACCGATGGGGAAGAAAGGTTCTCGAGTGGCAGCCTCGTACCGGTAGGCGTAGTGTAGGGCGACCCCCCACTAGATGGAGTGACGACCTGGTAAGACATGCAGGAAGTCGATGGATGCAGGTGGCTCAGGACCGTGCTTTGTGGCATTACTTGGGGGAGGCCTATGTTCAGCAGTGGACTTGTGAAGGGCTGTAATATGATGATGATGATGATGATTAAAACAGTTTAAGATTTTTCTGGATTTACGGCAAGTATTTTTTACAAATGGAGACGTCTATGCAGCATTGGATTTTAGTAGGCTTATAAAGAAATAAAAGTGTATTTATGTAGGTACTAGGAGTTTCACTGTCAAAAAATTTAATTTTTAAGACATCATGGTATGCTTCCATTTCAAGTGATTTTTCTATTTATTTTAGGGAATTAGAAAGCGTTTGTCGTACATTTTTTAATTTTTATAGTGAGTTTATGAAGTCACACATTAAAAAAAAATATTGTTCCGAAACCTAATGATTATAAATGGTCTTTTCCTAAACCACAAAAAGTTTTAAATAGCCTAACTACCTTGTATTTGCTTCAGGATGGGTGTTATTTTGTTGTGTTCACGATTCACGATATATATATATATATATATATATATATATATATATATATATATATATATATATATATAATGCAAGTAGCCATATCCGCTATTTACGTGCAGAATTTTGACGACTGATTTACTTACAACATCGTGACAAATACTTCCCATCAGAAATAACAAAAAAAAAAACAACAAAAAAAGCTTGTATACTTATGTAGTTCGCGAACAAGTAAAGGAAAATTTACTACTTATTCAGATGTCACTCCTTCATTTTACTTAGTTCATAGAATACTATTTATCTATATAGGAAAATATAGCCCAATGGTCTTATCTATCAGATACACTATCCATCTAGGGGATTTATGAAAATACGATTACCTAAAACTTGTTAAATATGAGTAAAATCACAGAAAAGATAAGTTTGACATACACGGTGTTTTTAGAATTAAGCTGTCTAGCCTGAAAAGTAAGAAGGAAAATTGAGATTCAAAAACCTTAAGGAAATTTACCTAGTACCCAACTGATTACGGAAATTTAGGAACAAGTGCGAACGACGCGTTTGTGACTTGTCTCAAATGCATCGTTCGACACTTATTCCTCGCGCTCAATGATTCGTTACTACTTCATTGAGTGAAAAGATATATTTTATTCATTCCTTGCCAATGACACATTTTGCCCACGTTTATATGAGCTGTTTGTTTTATAACTTTCAAAAACCTCTCCCTTCGTATACTTAGACACTGGCAAGAAACAGTTCAAATTATGGATAATATGTAAATTTCATGTTTTCTAATTATTACAGTCGAAGAGTCGACATATAATACGCAATTTCGCGCTTTATACATATTAATGAGGTTCCAAAAAGTTATACAACTCTCAGGAAAATATGAAAGTTGTGTGTTTCGCATTTGATTTCCAAAATAATTTTTGAAGTAAGAAGTACAAATTACATTTATTATTTTGTTTGAGTAATTTTACTGTAATATAAAAATAACCTCTTAAAGTTACAGCCTACTACGTCCCACAGGCCTCACCTCATTTCTGAGAAGATATTCTGGGCTATGAAAACTCCTCTGCGCTGCCCCAATGCATGTTAGTGGACTTCACATTATGTCTTGAAATATTTTTTTTTATTTCTAGAACATGCAAGTTTCCTCACGACGTTTTTCTTCACCGTAGAGCACGTGGTTAATCAGCACTTAAAATTGTAATTAATAATTTCATTATTGCCGGCGGAGTGTGAACCGGAGCTGCTCGCGTTTTGTGATATTTACACTTTACAACGAGCGCTTAGCCTCTGAACTACCACACCTCCTTCTTACTCATTAATATTTCGGATGCATTCGGAAAAAATCTTATTATTCTAATTCCAATTGTAGTTTGGAACATTGCGCACAGCCCTCATGGATGGGTACACCCCAGATGTTAGTTTCATTCCCAAGGGGCGGGCGGCGACGTCAAATTATCCAACTAACTCTATTTGCTTAGCCAAAAAAGAAGTGCTTCAGAGAGTACCATGCCATGATAATTTTGATCCTTTGCATATTTTAAACAAAGAAATTTTATTTCAAACATTATTTAAATGGTTGGTACTTTGCAAAATGCTATTAACATTTCTGTTATGTTTACAAATAAATAAAACTGAAGTGTCTGTTTGTAATGTCGAAATAACAGCTTTTTTGAAAAGTACCTACAATAAGGTGCCAATAAGAAAAAAAAACATTTTTAAAACTTTTGTCTGTCTGTCTATTATTGTCTGTTGGTTCCGGCTAATCTCCTAAATGGCTGGAACAATTTTGACGGGATAGCTGATGTTATAAAGAATAACTTAGGTTATTTTTAATTTCAGAAAAAGAATTAGGGATCCGCGTAAAATCTTAATACTCATATAATCCAATCGTAATTCCACGCGAACAACGTCGCAGGGAATAGCTAGTATAATTCCTTACAAACAATTAAATTAGCTCAAATGTTTATGTGTGCGACACTAGAAGAAATCCAAACCAACGACTTATAAAGTTTCGCGGGTACCCTTTGCTTTATTTAGGTAAGTTATTATGACATGAGTGTTTAAAAAGGCGTATTGTGTAATAATTTTTAATTATTTACTTATATTTGCTTCCTTCCTGAATTACTTAAATCATACTTTAAATTTAAAGTGCAATGGCTTAAAAAAATCGCCGAAAACTGTAGCATAGTATCTTCAATTTAGTCACTCTGAACCTTTCAAAATTATTTGTTTCATATTTTAAAATACTGAAAAATTAAATTTCCCTATTAACATTCGCTTGAAATCAATTATCATTGAATGCAACGCCTAACGTTCGATCCCCCAAAAAGAATGAAATGAATGAAAATTCATCAAACAAATCCTCTTTTAACACACAAGCACTTGTCGAAATATTAACTCGGGATCTGTTTCAAAATTACTAAAATCCTATCGGACTGTAAAAAAAAAGTAAAAATTAAAATGGCGGATCATCCAATCAGCGTTCATTTGTAGGCGGCAAAGCGGACGCGACAGTGAAACGGACTGAATATGAAGTGGCACTTTACACAATTGATGAATCACTACCCCTACTTTATACAAGTTGCATGTAGGTACATCTGCGCCCCTACACTTCAGACGCCCTATAGAAATCGCCCCGGAGCTACATTGTGCGTTATGCCTCGCGATATTTTATCTACTCAAGTGTATGTACACTTACTGTTAGCAGGATGTACTGTTTACTTCTTGTTAACGATCCGCGACACCTCTCAAAGTTCAGTAACAATATTACTTTTTTTCAGTGATGAATTATCTTGAATATTTCGCGATTAATTTTGATACGACGCTTTCGAGGCGCAGGAGCTTAGTAATGAGTTGCAGCGCTGATGGTCTCGGGTTCAAATCCCGCACGCAACAAGTACTGGTGTGACCTACAAATAATTGTTGTATGTACATAAATTTCACAGGGACATACGTCCAATGTTTGTCCTTGTGAAATTTATGTTCCTAAACTGCCTCTACAGGGGAAAATCCTAATGTGAGCGTAATGGTTTTTAAAATTAAAAAAAGCTTCTTTATTATTGTTACATGTTTATTAATCAATTCATAATTGAACGTCATAATAATGCTTACTTGGCGATGCATTATTGGTTAGAAAAGTTTATGGTTGTAGAATGTAGAGCATTTCTGATTGTTATTTTAAGTAAGTTAGTTCAAATATTTTAAAAACTATGTTTTTATTTTCCTCATATATCACGATGCATATTCTTGCTTCAATTCCAATTCATATAGATCGAAAATGGAAAAGAGAGTTAAAAAGAGAAGAATAAGACTTAGACGGAGAGTTACAGTTGTGCGTACATTTGCAATTTTTATCTTATATTCATTTTCATTCGTTCATTACAGCTAGTGCCTGAACGAATGTCGATTACAGACCGATGCCGAAGCTGAAGTTGATTACTCGGCTATCGCGACAACTTTCGGATGAAACGAAGTCAGAAACCGTAAAACTTTTAGATACCTCAAGAAATTCAGTTCAAGATTGGCAACATTAATAATATGATTTAATTTTTTTAAATTGCAGGTTTATATCGACAGTATTTATTTTAATAAATGAGAATAGTATTTTAATCATCTCTAAAAATGTATCTAGAGATGATGCCAATTGCGTCACCATGTCCTTCACGCTCTCGCTCATTCGTAACAGTAGTTCGTTCAATGTCTGCACATGCTGGAAACCTATTTGCACCGAAGCCAAAGGTTTCACCGAAAGTGGTTTTTAGAAGAAACCGAAGCCAAAGCTGAAGGTTCGTTAGGAGAGTAATGCCTTATCTATAATACCTATCAAAAGTCCGGTGCTGAACATAAGTATCACCAATGTGACGAAGATATATCGGCGACATATATCTTCGTCGAGGTATAGCCATAGTTGCCACGCGGTTGGTTTAGTATCCGCAGTTTCTCAATTAAAGCCTTCTATAGTATAGCTTTTGCTATTGAAAATCAACCAAGTGGTGTTCGGAATCCTTTTATGACTAGGAGTTTATCTAAGCATGTCCTTCTTGCATGTTTCTAAATCAAAACAGCATTATACTGTTTTGTGACTCGTGATACAATACAATTCAATTACAATCTGTGAGACATTTAATTTCGGTTCAAAGAGGTGATAAAGCGCTCTTGTACAGTCTTTGGGTTGCAATAGTCCCTTTCCAACAGAAATATTATAATGTTAAAAAAATAACTTCACATTATAATATTCTCTTTCACATTATAATATTTTATAAAGAATAATTACACAGTTAGTACATACATGTTATGTTATATTTTAAACTCATTAAAATGTTCACAATTGAGCAACTATTTTCTTTATACGACGTTACTTTTCTCAAAACACTCGACGCCTTCTGGCGATTTGACACAAAGACTAGGCACTAGGCAACTACAACACAAAGGCGATATGCAACCCTTTGAAATGTGGGTGTGTCTTAAAATTTTATGAAGTAGTCGTTGAGGTAGGGAGACGGTTTGAAAATCTTTTGTAGTTACAAGATAATTTAGGGAGCTTAGTTTCAAATGATTTAACGGCTTCGATTTCTTTTGACGTAGTTAATGATAGAATTAACGTATGTTTGCATTTTCCGTTACCGTTACTGTCACAACCTATTAATAAAGTTCACTGCTGAACACAGGCTACATCCTCTACAGATTATCTCATAGGGGGGATGTTTGTCATAGTTGACACGCCAGACAGGCGTTTTTTTTTTTCAGTCGTTATTAAGAGGACTCTTTGGCCTCTTATGACACTAATGCGAAGAGATTATACATTTCCTCTATATCCTATACCTTTAAACGAGCAATTCTTATATGCAATATATATATATATATATATATATATATATATATATATATATATATATATATATATATAAACGGCTCCAACGATTTTCATAAAATTTAGTGTCCAGGGAGTTTCGGGGGCAATAAATCGATCTAGCTAGGATTTACTTTTATAAAATGTCCTTTTGTCCGTGTTTTCAGGCAAAAAAAAACTGCTACAATATAAGAAAGTAAATTTTGACAGGTTACCAACGATCGTAGTAGCTCAGATGGGATGTCGTTCGGGCGTGATGTCGGAGTCCATGGTTCGCGTCCCGTCTTGGGTCCGACTTTTTTACTTTTTTTTTTCAAGTTCCCTTCTTTTTGTGAGAAAATCTATTATTTCGAGCCCTTTTTTTAGTATTTTTAAAAATACGAAAATTTTAATAAAACTAATTGCACTCATGATTTTTTATTCAAATAATCAGTTCAGTTTTTTCTATTCTGTCAATAAGATCAAAAAATATTATTTAAGTTTCATCAGTATGTAATTTATAAATGTAATTTCAAAAAAAAAACCGGTCATCCGGGTACTTTAACATAATAATGCGTATAATGCCTATCCCTAGATTTAAAAACAAGTAATAATCTATCCCTAAATTTAAAAACAGAACATAAATAAACAAAATTCAAACGAAGGGACCTAATTGTTTATATTATTTGAAATTGTATAAGATTTAGTAGCGCAGTGGTGTGTGTACGTGTTTGCCTGTTGTGCTGCTTATCCACGGGTTCGATTCTAACGTTGAAGAAATATCGGCTTAGAAATGATTGTCTGTAAAAATAATTGTGAATGGGTTTGGATGTAAATCTATATAATATTTAGGTGTGTAAAGTACCTCCACATTAGATGTGAAAATTCCTGTGAGCGTGTAACTTTTTTAAAATACGATGTTTTTTTATTTTTATTTTATATTGTCAACTTTTAAAACTTTAAAAATTAATTTGAATCAATAACTACTCTAGAACAATTTACTAGAGGTCGTCCTTAAAACATTAAGATTGACATTTATAAAAATTATAGTATTAGATAATGCATAAAATTTTATTTTATTAGATATAATAAAACCACAAAATAATCTATGCATACTTATTATATCAATGCCATAAACATCTTAAGAAATTTCAGTATCTATATTTTAGTGAACTCGATGAACAATTATTCAGTTGTTCATAAATAGGCATTATAGTTCACAGATACCAGTATACAAAATGTAGACGTTGTATCAAGTTTATCTAGAGATATTATGTATGAAAGCACCATAACCCCTAAGAATATAGAGTATCCCGCTTCAATCACATTCTAATCGCAAACAAAAATTTAAAGGCAGAAAGCCAAGTACTTGAAGTTATATTTTATTTCATGACATAATTTACATTAAGAAATTGGTGTTTTAAAATGCATGACTCGTCTAAAATAAACCTATTTTTTAATAATAGGAGTTACCATGAAATTTTAAAAGAAAAGTTTTTAAATTATAAATAGTTATTCAGTATAGTTTATTTGAATAAAATTTTACACATATTTACTGCAAAAAATATTCCTTTGTGAAATAATAACCAAATGTGATTGAACTATTTGCTACTGCTTAAAGTATAACAGTGTAGTTTTATCTTTCTAAAATGCTTACCAGCCAGAAATCTAGCATGCTTAGCAGTCAGAAACTCATTATTTGGGTAAAGTTCCCTTTTTTTTAGGATTAAATTTTTTTAATTATTTTTTTAGGAACAAACTGTAGGGTTACTTTGTAGTCCGTTCGTCTGTCCGTCGGTCAAGTCCTTTTTTCTACGGAACGGGTAAACTTATCAAGTTAAAATTAATATCAAACACTAAGATCTACACTTCTTTGGAGATGTAATATATTCAAGGTTCTGAAGTAACTCTATGTCAATGCAATCAAAACATACGTTGATTAATTTGTATAAGGATATTAGCTATACTAGATGTAAGGTCTCACAGTAAAAGTAAAGGAAAATATCCGATAATCATTTATTGACATGAAAAATTACTTTTTGCAATTATACACTTGGATTTGCATCTGGATTATCGCTCGTAATGTACAATGTAAGGGAGAACATGTTCTTAACTGAAATCGAAGAAATCGCTTAAGCACAAAGATTGTAGGTAATAAATAATATTATTTTCTGGTTCTATGTGTTGTTTATTATAATGGTTTTATTCTTCATTTAATATAATATTGATTAACACTAAAACTAAATAACACCTGACTTTTACCTTTATTAAGAATTGTAGATAATAAATATATATTGTATTCCGTCGTGCTACTTCAGTGCGTGTTGGCGGACTTCAAATGTCTTCGAAATATTTTTATTCATCAGATTAGCTTGTTTCCTCGAGATGTTTTCTTTCACTGCTGAAG